CGCCCGGGATGTGCTCCAGCCCCTTGGTCTGATAGGCGCGGGTCGCTTGGTCGAAGGCGAACTCCCGGGCCAGCACATTGAGCTCTGCCGACCTGGCGCTGCCTTTCGAAAGCGCTTTGAGGAAGCCGAGGTTGTCCGACCTTGCCCGGAACAGCGATCCATGGGCCAAAGCCGGGAGCCAAAGCCTGAAGGCGGCCAACAGAGCCAGGCCTTCCCACAACGTATTGTACTTAGGCAGGCCCCTCTCTGCCTTGAACTTGTGGAGGACCGCGTCGGGGATATGAGTGTAGTAGTACCCCGTCGGTTTGCCCCCCACGCGCCGGATAGCTCCCATGCCCCATGGCGAGGCGTCGGTGACGATCTCCAGGTCCGAGTGGGGCGGGTCCGCGTAGAACACTCTCTCGATTGTGGTTCTCCCCGACAGCAGGGCCCTTACCCAGCGAAGTGCCGGGCTCACCCTCTTGACATGTATGAGGTGTCGGGTTCTCCTCAAAGGTTTGCCCTCATTAGTCACATCATGTCTCGAGAGCGCCGCCCAGAAAGTAGCCAGAAAGGGCCGGAGGTGCGGGACGAGGCCGGCCACGAAAGAGAGCGCCCCGGCGTAGGAGCGGAGCTCCCGTGCCCCTATGACCGGCTTGTTCAGAAACTTCTCTGTGTCTCGGAGAAGGGCCTGGACCTTGTTCGGCGGCCCACCCATTCAATCTCTTTGCCCCCGGTGGCCTTGGAGAGCTTGATGGGGAAGCCCGCGACCGCCGTCCACAGCAGGACCACGGCGAGGTCGGAGGCCGCCAGCTCCTCTTGGGGCCGTCCATGGAGGTCTGACAAAGACACGGCGGCCGTTGACCGGCCAAGCCATTGCTGCCATTCGACCCCAGATCGTTGGGGACGAGGCCGACCCAAACACCAAGGTGTTGAAGAGGATGACCCTGTACTTGCTCTTCCGGTTCCTGTTGCCAGGGACAGCGGCGGCGGTGAAGCGTCGGTCGCCGCCGGCTGGGACATTCATGAAAGCGTCCCTGATATCCACGCCTGCGAGGAAGGGAGCTCTGCCCCTCCTATGGCAAGTGAGGAGGGAGGCCACGACGTCGAGGAGCCTGGGGAGGATGATCCTCTCCCCTTGGTGGCAGGCTCGGTTCACCATCGACTCCCTGAGGTCCCAAATGACCCTCGCCTTCCTTACCTTGTTGCCGTGGGCGTCGGTCTTTTCCTTCACGAGGACCCCGAGCTTGTTGAGGACTGGCTCGCCGCCCAGCTTCTCCCGCGCTTCTTTTGCGGAGCCTACCACAGTGCAGAAGCCCCGCTTGGTGTAGTCGCTGAGGAGCTCGTCGAGGGTCTCCGCTTCTTCCTCGGCGGAGGGATAGTTCTTCCATCCTTCCAAGGTTCTGTGGTCCAGGGTGGCGTGCGGGA